TCGTGAGAGAACTTACCTTTTACTAGACTTTCCATGGCCGCTGTGGTCTCTCTGGCAGTCAGCTTCAAATAATAGATGGCTATGGTTTTGAAGTGCTGGAAGTGATGGCTATCTTTATGGAGAACACAGTGAACTCACTACAGCAACAGCCCCGGGCAGGAAGATATTAGAAAGTGGGCGTAACTGGTCGTTTGGACAAGTTGAGCTAATCAAAGTGAATGAAGTCAAGGCCCAGAGGGCAGTGGGGTGCGCTGAGGCATAAAGGCAACTCGCTCCCCAGAAGTCACGTGTTGGACTGACAACTCAGGAAGTGATCTCACTGGAGACAGGACCTGCTGTAGATGGCAGTGTGACTGGTATCCCTACAGATGGGGGACTTAGGCGCAGGCTTATCTATGGTGTTGCACGAACATGAAAATGGCCACATGTGAGATGGGACAGAGGATAGATGCCTGGGCCAGAGCCTTCCCTGGCCCTGGGAGGAATCCACTCTCCCTACACCCTTATTTCAGGCTTCAGGGGTCTTGACCTTCGGGATGATGGATTTCTGTCGTCCTGTTTTGGTATGGTACTGTCACACACCTGCAGTGATGGTTTTGTGGGGGAACAATGGCATTGCTCTGTATGGAGCATAACAGGAAAGGAAGCAGGATCTGCACTAAGGAAGGGTACATATAACCGACCCTAACATCTTTCTGGGGTAATTATGAGATGGTGTCACAGTAGACCTCCCATGGGGAAACAACTAACTGTCCCCTTTTGAGTTTCACTCTCTTCAAGTCTGGCCTGTAAATTCTTTGATACCAGAGGTTAAGAAACAAGGCAACCCTACAAAGTAACCCCCGGAGAGTCGAAGAGGATGACAGAGTCAGAGGAACCATCCAAAGACACAGACGGTGCAGTCTGAATTATAAAAGTCCTCGCGAGTTTAGCTGGATGACAGGAACTTGGAGCTTTCCATAGCTTAGCTGATTTTAGCCTCTCTCTGTTAGTTACATCACTCCAGGAGGAATGATATAAGCATAGACTTTTAAAGTATCTCCCAGCATTGCAAGACCAGGGCCTCAGTAAAAATCCGGAGGCCGTACTCCAGGTGGCGCCAGGCTGGACTACCTGAGCCAGTGTAGGAACACATCAGTCCCAGGCCTGTGAATTCAGTAAAGAACGGAAGTAAATGATTTGTGGGACATGCAAGGAGACTAAGGGTCTGCAGCACAAAGACATTGAGAAGCAGAGAAGGAAACGGTGTTTATTAAGATGCAGACGTGGAGAGTGGACAGGGAGACAGCGTGGGGTGGACAGGGGACAGCGTGGACAGGGGACAGCGTGGACAGGGGACAGCGTGGACAGGGGACAGCGTGGACAGGGGACAGAGTGGACAGGGGACAGCGTGGACAGGGGACAGAGTGGACAGGGGACAGCGTGGACAGGGGACAGCGTGGACAGGGGACAGCGTGGGGAGGGGACAGAGTGGACAGGGGACAGCGTGGACAGGGGACAGCGTGGACAGGGGACAGCGTGGGGAGGGGACAGAGTGGACAGGGGACAGCGTGGACAGGGGACAGCGTGGACAGGGGACAGCGTGGGGAGGGGACAGCGTGGACAGGGGACAGCGTGGGGAGGGGACAGCGTGGACAGGGGACAGAGTGGACAGGGGACAGCGTGGACAGGGGACAGCGTGGACAGGGGACAGCGTGGACAGGGGACAGAGTGGACAGGGGACAGAGTGGACAGGGGACAGCGTGGACAGGGGACAGCGTGGACAGGGGACAGCGTGGACAGGGGACAGCGTGGACAGGGGACAGCGTGGGGAGGGGACAGCGTGGACAGGGGACAGCGTGGACAGGGGACAGCGTGGACAGGGGACAGCGTGGACAGGGGACAGCGTGGACAGGGGACAGCGTGGGGAGGGGACAGGGTGGACAGGGGACAGTGTGGACAGGGGACAGCGTGGACAGAGTGGACAGGGGACAGCGTGGACAGCGTGGACAGGGGACAGCGTGGACAGGGGACAGCATGGACAGGGGACAGCGTGGACAGGGGACAGCGTGGACAGGGGACAGCGTGGGGAGGGGACAGGGTGGACAGGGGACAGCGTGGACAGGGGACAGCGTGGACAGGGGACAGCGTGGACAGAGTGGACAGGGGACAGCGTGGACAGCGTGGACAGGGGACAGCGTGGACAGCGTGGACAGGGGACAGCGTGGACAGGGGACAGAGTGGACAGGGGACAGCGTGGGGAGGGGACAGGGTGGACAGGGGACAGCGTGGGGAGGGGACAGGGTGGACAGGGGACAGCGTGGACAGGGGACAGCGTGGACAGGGGACAGCGTGGACAGGGGACAGCGTGGACAGGGGACAGCGTGGACAGGGGACAGCGTGGGGAGGGGACAGCGTGGACAGGGGACAGAGTGGACAGGGGACAGCGTGGACAGGGACAGCGTGGACAGGGGACAGAGTGGGGAGGGGACAGCGTGGGGAGGGGACAGCGTGGACAGGGGACGGGGGCAGTGTGGGGTGGACAGAGGCAGTATCAGGATATGGGAAGGGTGGGTGTAGAAGCCTAGAAAGAAATATTGGAAATCACCTTCAATGTGGACTTCTTAAAGGGTTTGAACAGTGAGGTCTGGTCTTCAAGTAGCGAACAGTTCAGAGCCTGAGGCCAGCAAATGAATTGTATTACAGGTAGGACTGAGAGGCAGCCTTGGCAAAGATCGCTCATAGAGGAGCGCTGTCGAGCCGGGGAGGGGAGGGGAGGGGAGGGGCTCCCCACACCCTGACATTGAAGGGAGACGGAGGAGGAAAATGGGGACCCTGCAGAGGAAACTCAGTCAGAAGACATGGGACTTCCTCCTCAAGCTCATCCAAGGCGTAGGCTGGCCTTCGTGCCTTAGGATCCTTGTGGGTGAGGTTTTAGGAATAGGGAAATGCAAAGTAGAGGAGAAAACGTTGCCAAGGGAGAGATAGTGAAATAATAGAGTGGCAGGTCCTTAAAAAGGGAAGCGAAGCAAAGCCATCAAAAGGTCAGAGAGGAAGGTGCTGGAGACAGGCATGGGCAAGGGAGAGCCAACGTGCATGCGTGCGTGCGTGCAGCTGGAATGCCTAAAGAAGGAGAGCATTCGGCCTGTAGGCATTTAGAGCTAAAACCCAAGATACTTTTTTAGAAATTAGAGAAAAGCAGAAGCAATGTGTCGAGAAGGCCCAGTCGGTTCCTAGAGAGATGGACTCAGGATGACCAGGTGAAGATGTCATAATAAGCAAAGGATTTGTGCCTTAAAGACACAGGAAGGCGAGAATCAAGATGGCACTGGCAGCCATGGTGGCCTGAGTGTCTCATCTTCAGGCGCTCAGCTGCAGCAGCTGTAGCCTCAACCAGGGCCTCATTCTCTCCTGAGAGCGAGTGCTCCTCCCCTCCCCTCCCCTCCCCTCCCCTCCCCTCCCCTCCCCCTCCCCTCCCCTCCCCTCCCCTCCCCTCCCCTCCCCTCCCCTCCCCTCCCCTCCCCTCCGCTCCCCTCTCCTCTCCTCTCCTCTGGCCAGATGAGAGGGGACCTAGGGAGCACCGTTGTGAAGGGTGAGGGACCATCGAGAAACAGGCCCTGTGATGTCCCTGGCCCTCCGGCTCCTACAATCCCTTCTTTTCTTCAGCGGGATTCCCGAGCGCAGGTCAATGCTTGGCTGTGGGTCTCTGCATCGGTTTCCCTAAGTTACTGGATAAAGGCTCTCTGATGACAATTGAAGTAGTCCCCAATCTGATCACAGGAGAGGGCCAGTTCAGGCTGCTGTATCCACCATTGCTATGGGTCTAGCTGGGGTCATCCTTGTAGATTTGTAGGAGTTTCCCTTGATCAGGTTTCTGCCTGACTCCCAAGTGTGCCCCCTTTCCAGCCAGCTCTTTAAGTCCTCTTCCCCCCCATCTACCCCTGACCTGGTCCCTCAAGTTCCCACCTGCCCCCATCCCACCCAGGAGATCTCTTCGATTTCCCCCTCCCAGGGAGCTCCAAGCCTCCCCGCTTGGATCCTTCTTGTTACCCAGCCTCTCTGTGTCTGTGGATATTAGCGTGGCTGCACGTTACCGTAAAGTCAATATCCACTTATGAGTGAGCATGCTCCATGTTCACCCTGTTTGTCTTTCTGGTCTGGTTGCCTTACTCAGGGTGATTTTTTTTTAAAGTTCCATCCATTTCCCTTCACATTTCACGATGTCTTTGTTTTTGACGCCGTAACAACACTCCATTGTATAAATGTGTCACATCTTCTTTATTCATTTTCAGTTGAGGGGCATCTAGGTTGTTTGCAGGTTCTGGATATGATGAGTAAAGCTGGTATGAACACAGCTGAGCAAGTGTCCCTGTGGTATGATTAATTGGGCATCTTGTATGAAAACCCATAGAAACAACTAACCTGGCTCACAGGAACTCACAAAACCTGAACCAACAACCCGTTTTCTATTATTACTTAAGTGTTTCCCTCTACACTGTATATAATCCAATAGAACGTCCAGAAAGTAAGTCTGGTTTTTCCTTTGTGACAGTAACAAGACTCGGGGGCTAAGGTAAACTGAGATACTCAACTTCAGTGAATACAGATGGCATTTTATGGTGTGTGTGAGTGTGTGTGTGTGTGTGTGTGTGTGTGTGTGTGTGTGTGTGTGTGTGTGTGTTGTATGTAGGCCCGAAGTTGACCGTGAGTATCTTTGTAGGTTGTTCTCCACGTTATTGAGACAGGATCTTTCACTGAATTTAGAGTTTATGGTATCTTGCTAGTCTGGTTAGCCACTCAGCTTGTTGTCTAGGGCAGATGTAACACACAGCTACCATGGACACCTGGCTTCTTTGTGAGTGCCAGGGATGAGAACTCAGGCCTTTAAACTTGTGGATAGTTGTTTTATCCAGTGGTCGTCTCGTCTCTTTAGCCTGATACTTCCAATGTTTAAAGACTCCAGAGTTACAGCCTTACCTCAGTTTTACAAGCAGTGTTACAGGACCCTTTCCATTTTGTAGATATGGACGTGATGAGGCCCTTAATAAACGAGCAGAATTTCGATGGGACGTCGGATGAGGAACAGGAACAGACGCTCCTGCCTATGCAGAAGCACTACCAGCTTGACGGGCAGCGTGGGATTTCGTGAGTGTCGTGGGTTGTGGGTCCTCGGCTCTGTTCGGCTCTGTGTGCATTTTGTAGTCTCCCACAGACCTGAGTGTTTTACAGAGGACACAGAGGCGATTAAGAAGATGAAGGGTCCCTAGATGTTTGTAGTATGAGGACACTGAACAGCATGGGGATTTCTTCAGTAGTGATAGAAGAATGGCGAGCTTGTGGGAGGGGATGGCTCTTGCAGAGTGAGGAGACAAGCTACTGGTAGAATGTGTTATAAAAACCTGTTTTGGTGTCTTCTCATCATTGAATTCTTGCTTTAATAGTAATTTAATGAGTAAGAACAGTCACTTGAAATTTGATCAGGTATATACTAAAAAAACTGAATAAGTCTGGGCGGTTATTTTTGTTTCATGAGTTTGAAGTTTGTGCTCTTGATTTCAGTGTGTTTCTTCTTGGTCAAGTCACCTCCTAGAAACTTCTAAGCCATGGAAGCTCATGAGGGAGCTCATGATAATAGAAGTTGTTATTTTACCTGAGGATAGTGTTAAAACTTGTGTAAATAATTTTTCTTTTATAATTTCCCTTTAGGGTGACAATCATGGATCAGATATTTAGAACATAATTATCTAGACAGTGCCAACAAATCCTTCTGTTTTACCAGCGAGATTCTCAATGTTCTTGACACCATAGCAGCAAAGTATCTTATGAGAAAACCAGTTTTAAATTACTGTTCTATATGCCCAACACTGACTAAACATTTCCTTTAAGTTCTACAACAGTTCTCTGGACTTGTATTTGTTGAGTAGAGATGGCATTTGATCCCCGGTGACTTCTTGCCTGATGGTGGGATGAGAACCTTTATTTGCTGTTGCCTCGGTCCCTAGGTTGAATGCTCAGACCTTACCGTTTTCGCTTTCCAGATTCGTGCAGACCCTGATGCATCTTCTGAAGGGGAACATCGGAACTGGCCTTTTAGGGCTTCCCTTGGCAATAAAGAACGCTGGCATTGTGGTAAGGCTGTCCACTCCAGATAGTTGTCAGTACAAATGGCCGTCTCATCCAGTGTAACCTGGGCAGGTGACATGTAGGGGTGGCCACTGTGTGTGTGAACTGTAATCACGGCACCTAACCCAGAGTGAGAGTCACTGCTTTCATTTTCTGCGTGATCTCTTATATTTAATACTTAACAACAACAAACTCTGACACCTAACCCAGTTCTTGATTTCTGAACATGGGCGTGTCTCATTTTTGGGGCTTGTCAGGCGCTTAAGCATGTACCCACAGCAACTAATGTATTAAGGGAATGCATTATTTTTATGGTATGACTTCTTTAGTATCTTAGAGTCAGAATAAGTATGTTTGCAGTATTCATATCTAAGAAAAATAGTTGAAATGCGTGACGGCATCATTTAAACACAGGTATCAAAACTGTGTTAGACAGTTACTATAATTGCTGCATTTGAGAACCTTGTTGAGGCAGGTTCATGGTTGAAGTAAATTAGACATAAATCTTTTTAAATTGGTTCCACGAAGGTTGTAGCTGTTTACTTTTTCTGGGTTTAACAATCCTGTGTGTAAAGTAACTGGATTTTTTACTGCTCAGGTCAGCTTTGCCTGGTTCTGCAACCCACCCTAATCCAGACATCACTGTGAGTCTGGCGAGTACACAGTTGAAACTTTTCATGAACTGCTTTTAAGAACTGTTATTTCCTAATGACTGTCCCTGGCATGCTTGCGGGGTTCTCTAAGAGCAATGTGTAGGGGAAAGATCTTTCTTGTCTAGACAAGGGTATTTAAGTATGCACTACACTGATGCCATAGATTTGTCCTCCTGTGCTGGGTGAGACATTGTATTCTATATTCAGTGCTGAGTGTCTGTACCACAGGTCGCCAAGTCGGCAAGATAGCATCATTGTCAAAATAGCACCTGAAGTAATTTCTGTGTCAAAATTATTAATTTTCTTCATGCCTGTGATAATTTAATCCGTGGGTTCAACATTTTTTTTTTTCACTGAATTGTTCGTTGATTTACTGCTTATAAGCTCACTCACTTTTTAAAATGATTATTTAAATCTCCCTTGTTTTCTTCTCCACAGCTTGGACCAATCAGCCTTGTGTTTATAGGGATTATTTCCGTCCACTGTATGCACATATTGGTACGTTGCAGTCACTTTCTATGTCAGAGGTAAATGTGGACTCATTAAGTCTATTTGATTCATTGTAAAGTTTCATACTTGCTTAGCGCATCATTGTTTCATGTATCTATTGTGCCTTGCATCTAGAGGTTGTGTTTCCTTCCAGCGTCTGACGCTCTTAAGATAACGACCATGGGACAGGCTAGCGTTTCTTGTAGTCAGTGTGGTCAGGATTTGTTCAGTCATCCCTAGCGTTCTCAGAGGACTGGCTCCAGGGTCTCCATGGATACCTACACGTGCTCAAGTCCCTCACATAAAATGATGCAACCTCTGTACAACCTCCCAGGTGCTATAATCATCTTCAATTCAGTATAAATGCTGTGCACATTATTATTCTATACTGTACACCAAATAGTGGCAAGAAAAACAGTGTATGTAATCAACACAGATATGTGTTTTCATGAATTTTCCATGTGCAGTTGGCTGACCCATTCACGAGGAACTCGTGGGTGTGGAGTGATGCCTGTGCTTTCTTTTTAATGTTGAATATTGCCTGTGTGTACATGACGTATGTCTGTGGGCACATGTGTGCCACAGTACACATGAGAGTCTGTGGGGCTGCTCAGTGCTTCCCTCCGCTCTGTGGGGCTGCTCAGTGCTTCCCTCTGCTCTGTGGGGCTGCTCAGTGCTTCCCTCCGCTCTGTGGGGCTGCTCAGTGCTTCCCTCCGCTCTGTGGGGCTGCTCAGTGCTTCCCTCCGCTCTGTGGGGCTGCTCAGGTCGCACTCAGGTTGTCAGGCTTCTGTGGCAGTTATGTTAGCTGCTGAGTGGTCTCGCTGGCCTGTGATTGCAGACATTCAGAAGGTGTTCCACTGGGGAGGTGGGGTGGGTGCTTTCATTTAAAGGACAGGAAGCCAGCAGCTGAGCACTGGAGTGACAGCCCCAGGTGCTCCGTTCATTGGTGATTGGGTTTGGGGCAGAGCGCCGCGTTTCCAGTGAAGGTTGCTGGTAAGTGCGCTGATGGACGCAGAAAAGTAAAACCCCCTTTTAGTTCTGTAGCATGAAATGCTCTCCTGGATGATAAACCCGCCTTTAAAATGCTTCATGTTATAGCAAACCAATGGTTGGCTCCCAGCTCTTTTCATTAAATGGTCTCGAAACTGTTTATATCATGCTTGTTGTTGCAATAATGACGCATACTCTAGAGGAGAAAGTAGAATAGAGATGGAGAAGTGGCTGCCTTCGTGGAGGTGCTGGGAGCATTAAATGGGACGGCTCGCAGGGAACTAACTGTAGTGCAGCGCCTGCTCGCTGTTCCAAGCGCTGTCACAGGGTGGGATGATCTCCAGCTGCTGTTCTGGGTGCTTGAAATATTTAAGTCAATGGAGCATCAATACAAAGTGTCTGCATTTGACAGAAAAAAACTGCAGCGGCAGTTAAACTTTGTATGCCTGCAACGGGGCAGGCAATACTTTGAAATTTCTTGATTCGTGCTCATGGATACATAGATATTTATTTGCACTTTGAAAACAAAGCTGCTGGTGTGTATCCTGAGTTCACAAATCTCTCTCTTTATTTGATGCTATTTTCATGGAATGGTGTTATAGACCAATTTAATACTTTCCTCTGTGTGTGTGCCTATAAATTGTAGGTTTAAGAAGTCAACGTTGGGGTACAGTGACACTGTGAGTTTTGCCATGGAGGCCAGCCCGTGGAGTTGCCTTCAGCGGCAGGCAGCGTGGGGACGGTAAGCACTGGCCTTGCTTCTAATGTTTTTTAACTACTTTCACTGAACAAGACATAACGGGGAAACATGGTAAGTGGGTGTCACAGTTGGACAGACTCTGGTTCTAGTCTCTGTCTCTTTGCTGTTCTATGATCGTGATGGCGGTTGACAGGAGTCATCAATCAGTCCGTCTGACTGTGTGCTCCCTCCTTGCTCCAAGTCCAGAACGCAGGATGTTGTACGTAGGACCCGCCATACCCAAATGGTGTTACATAGATATCTGGCAATAGTTGCTCCCTCCTTCTACGTAACTGTTTTGTGTTTTGGAAGTTTCTAGAGCATCTCATTGTGAAGTAACAGAGAAAATCTACCAAAGATGTCTCTAGACCCATGCTCCCAGTCCCCTTGCATTCCGCATTTTTATTGAACCAGGAAGTAGCATGTGCCCTTCCCTTGTGAAGCTGGCAGCGAGGAAATACACTGGCTTGGCGTGAGGAGATCTTGAGGAGTAGCGGGGAAGGGTGTAGTCTAGAACATGAGTTCTTCTCCAGTGCTGAGTCTTGAATGACGGCCCCCGGTCACCCGGGTTAAAGGCTCTCCACTGTGAGATGGTTTCACAAGCCGCTGTTGTTACATAGCAAAATTGCAGAAGTAGGAAGCGATGTAAAGCGTCTTTGTCTTTTAACTGAGCGCAGCGTGCTCTTTACTATCGTGGTCTAGTGCCTTTCTGACTGACACTGCCTTCATGGGAAACAAATATTGACGTGGCCATTGTCTGAGGCAGTAAGGGAATGAATGCCGTCATGAAGTGCTTTAAAACAGTTAAGTGAAGAGTGCTGAGGGCTCCGTGTGACACTTGTTTGCCGGACTGTTTCAGGAGCGTGGTAGACTTCTTTCTGGTGATAACACAGCTGGGATTCTGCAGCGTCTATATCGTCTTCTTAGCCGAAAATGTGAAACAAGTGAGTATGCTTCTGCAGTCAGTGAGGTCTTTCCTTCCCATGCCTTGTTCATTGCCTGGTGCATCTTCCGTGGAGGCCATGGTTGAAGATACAGATGTGTTGTTGACAATACAGATGTGTTTCACTCAGGGTCCTTTTGTTTTTTTTTTTTTTTTTTTTTTTTTTGGTGCTTTGGTTACTTTGTAACAATGAAAATCAATCATGCTGGCATTCAAAACCCTCGTCTTACCACAGACTCGATATTTACAAGGACAAATGTTAACATTTTTTTTTTTTTTTTTTGTGCCAGATTCCAAACTAAGTGCTTGGTGTTACATAGAGAACTTTCCGGTCCTAATTTGACAAATGTTATGACAGCATCAGTCACAACCTTGCGTACCTACTTTGTAGTTGATGGAACAGAATAGAGGTTAAGGTTTCAAGCTTGGCCAGGGGGTGTAGCTCAGTGGTAGGCCGCTTGTGCAGCGTGTACAAGTCTCTGGGTTCTATTCCTGGCACTATACAATAAAGGGAGAAGAAGGGTGATAGGAATAATTCAGGCTCTGAGCCAGCTGTAGCAGTACATGCTCAGAATCTCAGCCTTTAAGATTGGTGAGAATGGGACTTGCCTGTGGGTCACAGTAAGTTTGTGGCCAGCCTGGGCAACCCCTTCTTTTAAAAGCCCTCCCCCGCCCCCCCAGTTTCAGATTCTGGATCCAGATGTCTATAGTTCACGTATTGACTAAGCTACATGACTTTGAAAAAGGTGATTAAACTTCAGCTCTCTCATCTGAAAAATGGCCACATTAATGACCTATTTCTTTGAGCTGTCTGAGTGACTCACGGTCATTTTTAGTTGTCTCTTTTACAAGTTGGATTTCTCACGTTATTGCCGTTGGAATTATTATGCCTGATTTTATGTCAGCCATGCTACTTGGTTTTTTTTTTTTTTTTTTTGGACCAGAATGTGGCTTGGCTTGCTGTTTCTTGGTTACTCTCTGTTCAGTAACCAAGATCTCAGAAATATGCACACAGGTCCGTGGTCACACTCTTCATGTTGTTGGCGGTTTTTAAAGGAGATAGGTGGCGCACAGCAGTTGAAAGCATCAGGTACAAAGGCGAGCGCTGGTTGCTAAGCTCCAGTATTGCTGCTGTCCTTTACAGAGGTTCTGAAAACTTGGCATGCCACCTTGCAGTCATTCACATGCTCTGTGACGGCAGCGGAGTCTGTCCGGGATCATCCCCACCATTTTTACTTGCTTTTTGAGATGGTCTCGTCTCATTCAGGCTCATGTTGAACTTTCTGTTTAGCTCAGGCTGTGCTTGAACCTCTGACCCTCCTGCTTTCCCCTCCCACGTGCTGGCTGGGAACACAGATGTCCTCTTCTAGTTCTCCCAACAGCCCTGTGTGGTTTTATGTTTATACACTGTAATGCAGCATTAGCGTTTACAGTTACCCTGGAGTAACTGCTGTGAAGTCCTGAGAACACGATCCACATCCCCAAGCTTACTCGGCATTTTCCTGAAATGGAGCCCTTGGTCATAGATGCTATTGTTGTTAGTTGAGTATGGTCTTGAACTCAGGATCTTGGTGTCTCATTTTCTGAGTAGGGTTAGGGTTTCTGCTTATGTACTGTCTTACCTGGTTAGCCACCTTTGGTAATGAATTTTATCGTGGGTGGGATTTTTTTCCCCGTGTGTGTGTGTGTGTGTGTGTGTGTGTGTGTGTGTGTGTGTGAGCAGCACAGGGAGGAAACATCTAAAGGCTCTTTTAATGACTTTCTCTTACGAAGCATTGTCTGCACCAGCATTTAATGAAAATTTAAGGCATGAGATAGGAACAGGTGGCTCCCTGGCTGGTTGGAAAGAGAAGTTGTCCTTTAGAGCCAGAATGATGAAGGTCTTTCAGAGGCATGAAGGGAAACGAGAGAAATACACGCAGCAGGGGCAGCAGCCACAGAAGTGTGAGGTTGGAAATTGTCACTCTCTGTAGACAGTGCACATCGCTGCACACTGGCTAACCCTTACTGTTCGACACTGCTGGATAAACTCACTGGTCAGATGCCCCCACTGTCACAGACAGGACACCGTGGGATGACCCCACTGGTCACCGCTGTCAAGGGGCTTGGTCCTAGAGGGTGTGAGTCATACTCCGTTTGTCTCTTACGGCTGTAGGCTGATGGCCATCTCCTTCTTCCTCCCCCGTCACTGGACTGCAGGTTCATGAAGGACTGCTGGGGAGCACAGGGTTTGTTTCCAACAGCACCGACCCATCTCATGCGTGCGAGAGGAGTGTGGACCTCAGGGTCTACATGCTCTGCTTTCTCCCCTTCATAATCCTCTTGGTCTTCATTCGTGAGCTGAAGAATCTCTTCATACTTTCGTTCCTTGCCAACATTTCCATGGCTGCCAGTCTCGTGATAATTTACCAGTACGTTGTCAGGGTAAGTGTGCTTTCGAGTAACCTTCCTGTGTTCCCATGTGTGGAAAGCTTCCTTTGGAGGTGACACACAGGGCACACAGACAGACAGACCGCCAATGCTGGTTTCCCCTCAGGGATAATGCTAATGCAGGACATAGATGCTAAGAGGTTGTATCTGGTTTGAATGCTCATGAGGATGCCCGTGGGTTTCAGTCAATGCTCCCGAACATCTCACTTTCCTGTTAGAGCTCTTGTGAGATTTAGGACTGTGCTCCTACTACAGAGCCTCCCATGACTCAACTCATTGAGTTACTGTGTTTATGCCTTTGAGCTTGAGCCAGTCACAAGGGTGGCTGTGTATGTAATTGTTTAAGTATTTTGCTTGCCACCACATGCTGTCCACTGCCATGGCACAAGTCCACGACTCTCTGAGTATGGCAGGAGATGGATCCCATGTGCCTGGGCCTGGCCGGTGGACACAGGCACCGGGGAGCCTGTGGATGCGAGCCTCCCCTAACCCGGGGTGTGGGAAATGTTTGCTGAATTTCATAATCCCACGTGCTCTGTGATTTTACTCTTTAATTATAAATAGTCTGCATAGGATAAAGCTGTAACTTGCCTTCTTTTTCCTTTTTTTTTTTTTTTTTTTTTTCTCTTTTCTGCAGAATATGCCAGATCCCCACAACCTTCCAATTGTGGCTGGTTGGAAGAAATACCCACTGTTTTTTGGTACTGCTGTGTTTGCTTTTGAAGGCATAGGAGTGGTAAGAATTATCCATTTCTTGTTTTCTAGACTCTTTAACACAAGAATTTTTGTAGCCAAACTCTATAAAAAATACATTTTTTTTGTTTTTTTGAGGGGGGGCATGGATAGCCCTAACGTATGGAGATTTTTATTGTAGATGTAAGGGAGAAACCAGGGAAAGGGAAGAGCCCAGGCTGAGCACACCTGGCTGACTAAACTGGACCGTGAGAGGAGAGATGGGGTGGGAGCCATAGGTCCACTGAATGAGACTCGCTCTCCATTTGAGTTTGCCTGTAAGCATGTCTGCACCAGGAGCATGTCTGGCTCCTATAAAGGTCAGAAGAGGGTGCTGAGGCCTTGGAACTGGAGTTGTACATGGTTGTGAACCACTACATGGGTTCCGGGGATCAAAACTAGGGCCTCTGGAAATGCAGCCAGGTGCTCCTAACCACCCAGCTCTCTCTAGTGCCCCCCCCATCACACATTTAAAAAAAGGTGCAGGAATTGGTGTGGGCCAGGAGCGCAGAGCACAACGTTCAGGAGTTGGTTCTCTCCTTTTATGTTATGGGGGTAAGATCTCTCCTGTTTCTGCTGCTCTGAGGTTCTCCAGGGTAGGAGTCCCGAGAGCTTCTACCACAGGAGTGAGCCAGCATATCCAGCCTTTTCTGGGTTTGGGTGACTAGAATCAGGCCATCAGGCTCGCATGCCAACCTACCAGCCCAAACATCACGTGCTATGTATAGACTAGAATATTTGAAGGCTATGGAAGTGATTATAAAGTTATTGTCATGTGAAAATCAAAGATAATTTCCCCCTTAGGTTGAGTACATCATGCTTGTTTTGAGGCATAACATTAATGAGATGTCAATGCCATGAGATGCATCCCGAGGCCTCTTAAGTATTTCTGCTCAGAACCCGTCAGTATTTGTGGCCCAGAAGTTGTAGATTTAGGGAAATTAGAATATCAATGTCTACTGCCTTCCAGGTCTGATGGTTTGATATCAGAACAAAGGCACTTTAGATGTCTCTCCCGGTGAATGCAAATGGATGTCTCCTCCCACCCACCCCCTTGGCTGTCTGCTGTCTGAACTTTTATAGTCTTAGAAGTTCTCACAGCTCCTCTTACTGTAAGATGTGGCTTTCAGTGTCTGTCTTCATTAGTTTAGGATCTTAATCACTTGATATTTAGTTAAGCGTCGATTCTCTGACAAGATCAGTTTCCTGCGGCATTTCTGCACACACGTAAGATGTGCTTTGTCCTTATTTGCCCGGACTGGACTCTCCACCCCTCTTTTGTCTTCCTTATCCACACAGTCCCTTGGCGTCACACGTTCCGTTCCTATCTCTCCTCCCTTCCCAAGATCTCTGTCTTTTTGTAATCCCCTTCCTGCTCCCGCCGCCACACGCTGTAGATCAGTTACAGGGGTGTGCGTGCGTGTTCACACGCATGTGAGCTTTAACTCCCTTTGTCTCCTGAGGGGTCAGAAGCAACACTCCTCACATAGCACACTCAGCACAGAGATCTTCATTCTGAATGCCATGCTCCAAGAGCAGTGTTCTGTAGAGAAAAATGTGTGGTGGTGACTGGAACCATGCAATATAGGCCAGAGATGAAGTGACTGCTCAGGGGGAGAGTGAGGCAGTCTGCACCACGGACGCACACATGCCTGGACACTGCCTGGATGCACACATGCCTGGACACATGACTGCACACTGAGCTCCAACCCAACATTCTGCCACGCTCAGTGTGCACAGCAGCTCTCCAGAGGCCCATAGTGACAAAAATAATTGCAGTAATGACTGTGAGGCAGTTCCCACTGAGTTCTTGGAGAATGGGCGGAGCGTGATGAGGTGGGTGGGTGGGAAGGTGGCTTTGCCCCTGCGACTAGACCGAGGCACACTGGGGTGTGGTGGCTTTCTCACAAGGAAGGCATTAGGACAAATCCAAATTAGAGGGATGCTGTACAAAGGCGTTTAGCAAGTCGGGAGAGTGAGCAAAGAAAGACCGAGAAGCCAGCGAGGCCACAGGAGACGGAGGAAGCTCTGGCTTCCTGGATGGGCTCCTGCTGCAGAAGGCCACTCGTGGAAGCGCGGGAGAAATTGAAATGGAATTCGGGGTTCAGCCAGCTGGTTCAGAGGTGACATGGGAGCTGCCTGTGTTTTCCTCTGCATTTAAAAACAAACCTAAAATTATCCTAACCAGAAAAGGTGTATAAAAATAACCAGCAGGTTGCCTCCTGAGGACTGGTGTTCAAATCTGTTTAGGAGTTAAAAAGTAATGTGATATAAACATCTACAGAGCACAGGGGCTGAGGAGGTGGGTGTGTTGGTTAGCGCCTGCTACTTAAGGATGAGCCCATCACCCACACCCAAAGCTGAGTGCCCCCGTAATCCCAGTGCTGGGAGATGAAGACAGGTAGACCCCTGCTGCTCACACATGGGCAGAGGCCGGCCTGTGTGAGCCCGAGGCCAGGCTGGTCTGTGTAGTTCCAGGCTAGCCAAAGCTACATAGTGAGGCACTCTCTAAACAAACCTAAGAGGGTAAAAACTAAGGTGGAAGGCGAAAGAGGAAGACACTGACATCAACCACACACATACACATGCACACATAAGAACACGCCCCCCACAAGCATGCACACATAAGAACACGCCCCCCCACATGCACACATAAGAACACGCCCCACACATACACATGCACACATAAGAACACGCCCCCCACAAGCATGCACACATAAGAACACACCCCCCACAAGCATGCACACATAAGAACACACCCCGCACATACACATGCACACATAAGAACACGCCCCCCACATACACATGCACACATAGTCTACACATTACAAAGGAAATAGCACTTTGTTAACGTGTGCAATGGAAAAAAGATTTTGCACAGGACACTACAAAGGGCCAACTCTTCTATCTAATTACCCAGGTTATTCTGAAATTCCTGTATCCCGTTCCTGTAAAAATAGTTACACTCTCCTTTTAGGTGCTCCCACTGGAAAACCAAATGAAGGAGTCTAAGCGATTCCCCCAGGCGCTGAACATCGGCATGGCAGTTGTCACGGTGCTGTATGTCAGCTTGGCCACCTTGGGCTACATGTGTTTCCGTGATGAAATCAAGGGCAGCATTACCCTGAATCTTCCCCAGGATGTGTGGTAGGTGGAGACGACTTACTCGTCATAGTTTAAGTGTTTTTTATATTCACCAAGATTTGATGGGGAAGATACATTTTTAGGTTTATGATTTGAGCATTTAAACTTTTTCATGATTTCATTATTTGTGGAACTGACAATATATTTGATGGGCTTTTGCAATTTCAAATATGAGACATGGGTAGAAACAGTAACAATCTTTATTCACAGAAGTTTTTAAGTCTTACTGGGAAAAGAGCAAGCGCGCAGGCGGATAGATGCCCCTGTTCCCAGCTAAGACACAGAGGACAGTTCAAGCCTGGGTTCTGTGTGACCTGTCCTTGAAGTAGTCCTTTCCTCCCCTATGGTCCTGGCTCATTCCCGATGCCTTCTTGGTGTCTTCTCCATTTAGGACAGAGAAAATTGGAACTTACGACCGTAAGTCAGAGGTTAGCCTCAAGAAAGCAAGCAAGTCATCTGATTTTCAGTTGGAAAAAAGCCTCCAAATTTTTTCCCGAGGACCAGTAGACATCTTGAAAAGCAGGAGAGCAGGTCAGGGTAGAGAGTGATTTCCTTTAGAGAGTCTGTCCGAGTGGACAGGGCAGCTGGGTGCAGCCTGTCCTCTGCGTTGCTGTGTGTGTGTTGTGGACCTGGGGAGTAATCAGAGTTAATAGCCCCTGGCTGAGAGGTGCAGGGTGGTGCTGTCCTTTCAAAGTTAGCATGTTCTGGAAAGTGAGTGCAGAATGCCCCTATGTCTCCTATGAGCAATGCAGAGTACACGGCTCTGTGGGTACTTAAAACCCAAGTGAGAGCACAGGTTGAAGCGTTGAGAAAAACCGTTAAGTGCTGCTGAAAGTATAGATGCCATCTGTAGAAACAAATGGCTTTTGAGACAGAATAGGCAAGAATGAAAACATGGGTTTTCACACACGTGTTTGCACACTCTGTGGCTTATATCACTCTTCCCGGGTTGAAAACCCGGTCTGTGCAGTGCTCATTTCTCCAGCAAGCACACGAGAAGGAAAAGTTGGAACAATGGGCCTTATAACACCAAATACTAGTACTACGCGTGGAATGACATTAACACTAAACACGTGTTAGCCTGTGTGACTCCAGCTTTATGTCGGTGGAATATAACTATATTAATATGGAAAACAATGTTTTCATTTTAAAGTATATTAGCAGCCATACTTCGGAAACAGCAGTAATTAGAAAGAAAAAGCAGTCTTCCTCTTTTAAGTGAATAATGAACTGAGAATGCTTGTTTAATTCCCTACAACCTGTGAAAAAATAGTTATTTGGAAGTTTTGCATATTTTCAGCCACAACCATTTATAGTTAAATTTTAAGGCTCTACCTAAATATGTCCTTGGCTAATTTTTTAGTTAAGATTTATTGTCTATAGCCCTGAGGACTTTCCTTGTTCCTAATTATGCTATTTGCCATATTTTCAAATCTACTCCGCCCTATTTCCTCTACTCTCCCCTGAGGTGAATGCGCTGTGGCAGAACCTGTGCAACCCTTGCTTGGCTGCAGACTGTAGAGCTGTTTATACTTCTCACGGTTGTAGGCCTTAAGATGTCGAAATAAGCTTAAGCCTAATTAATGGCTTTGCGGAAAGTAGCCTCCTGTGTGTCCTTTTAGGACGATAGGATGTGCTCCCTGTGTATCCCACTCTTGGAGAGGAGACATTCCCTCGGAGGGAGAAAGAGCGCAGGAGGTGGTCGCGGCCCCAAACTGCAGCACAGCCTCCTTTCTAGGTAGTCTCTTAAGACATGCAATTGGATATTTCTGTTGATTATTTTAAATATAAAAAGAACTTAACAAATAAAATGTTGAGGTATTGAAGTACAACACACTCATTTTATCATTCCTGGCTCAGAGGAGTAGGTTCTTTGTCCATCTGACTTGTGAGTACCTCGATGAACATCACTTTCTCTAGACAAAGGGATTTGCTGAGGTATCTCCTGAGAAGTGCGTGCTGACGGGCTGGAGAAGTGATCCAGCTGTTCAGAGGACTCGCTGCTCACCCGGAGGACCAGGCTCAGTTCTGTGTGCCCACATAACTCGCATCCGTCCCTAACTCCAGTTCCAGGGCGTCTGATGCCCTCTTCCGGCCTTGCAACGCACCAGATACTCATATGGCACATAGACAGACATGTAGCTGACACATAAAATACTAAATTAATTAAATAAAAAGGAGAAAAAGGTGAAGTGCATGCCCAGTTTGGCAGGAGGCCATCACCAACGTTGAAATCTAATGACTATCGTGCATGTCTGTGTGACCTGACCTGCTGTTTACAAGGAGTCCCCAGAGGTGACCACTTAGACACAGTTTGTAGCCAATTTAAAGTCTGTATTGTAGCTGTCTGGGACTACACTCCAATATTTGGGACCCAATTGTAGCTCTGAGCATTTAGAGAAAGGGCTTTTAAAGGCAAAAAAGACACCCGAAGGCATCCAGAGGAGGAGATTTTTACCTGAGCTAGCGGTTTAACAGACCGCTAGGATAAGCAGTAGCTGAGGGGAGGTTGTGTAAGCCGGCAGTTTAGCAGAAGCTGAGAAGCGATGGACCTTGGCTTCTCGAGTAGAGCTGGGTGATTTTTCCACAGGCTTCTCCATCAAGGAGACCAAATTCTATTAAACCTAAGTGGCCTCAGCAACAATACAAGACGGAGGAGTCGCTGCACTGTCCTGTTAGTGTGTGTGACTCTGTGCATCACATAAAATGAGTAACGAGAGACTCCTAAAGGTGTATGTATGTGAAGCTGAAAACTGATGAGCACTTTTGAAGCCCTGGCCTCAAAGGGCTACGTTTGTATCGCAAACAATCAGCAGCAAATGTGCTCCCTCAGCGCTGTGATTTTAACACACAGGAGCAGGTGCAGCCTGGAGAACTCAGCTGGTTGAAATAATTCAGATGTCACTCCTTATGCCCGGTGCCTAACAAAAGTGTCAAACAAGGCGAGCTCAGATTGAGGGCCCAGTATGACATTTTTCTTCTACATGTAGATCACTGGGGCTGTGACTCAGTATTTCAAAGGAAGTATAAGAATACTAAAGTTTTAAAAAGAAAGTTGAAAATAATATTGCTTTGGAAAGCTTCCTAGATCTCTTCATGGAGCTCTTCCTTGGTCCTAAACACAGTCTTCCGAGCACTGTGTCCCCAAGTGCACGCTCAGCCTCACCAGGCTGGTGACAGCGAGTTGTTCGTATGAGGACTAGAAATGTAGTTAGTGCAGGCCAGTTTCTGTTATTTTCATTCTTGAGACAGCGCTCCTAGTCTGCAGACACTGGTGGGGTCTGGGGATTATTCTTTAGCCACTGGTAGGGTCTGGGGATTATTCTTTAGCCACTGGTAGGGTCTGAGAATTATTCTGCAGCCACTGGTGGGGTCTGGGGATTATTCTGTAGCCACTGGTGGGGCCTGGGGATTATTCTTTAGCCACTGGTAGGGTCTGGGGATTATTCTTTAGCCACTGGTGGGGTCTGAGAATTATTCTGCAGCTACTGGTGGGGTCTGGGGATTATTCTGCAGCCACTGGTAGGGTCTGGGGATTATTCTTTAGCCACTGGTGGGGTCTGGGGATTATCTTTAGCCACTGGTAGGGTCTGAGAATTATTCTGCAGCCACTGGTGGGGTCTGGGGATTATTCTTTAGCCACTGGTGGGGTCTGGGGATTATTCTTTAGCCACTGGTAGGGTCTGAGAATTATTCTGCAGCCACTGGTGGGGCCTGGGGATTATTCTGCAGCCACTGGTGGGGTCTGGGGATTATTCTTTAGCCACTGGTGGGGTCTGGGGATTCTTCTGCAGCCACTGGTGGGGTCTGGGGATTCTTCTGCAGCCACTGGTGGGGTCTGGGAAACTCACCGCTGTCTTGTGGCTTCCCGAGTGCTGGATTTACAGTTGTACCCCCCCACACACATCTATCTTGCTTGGCTTTTACACCTTTGATTAGGAGGTCTCTAGACTGGCTTGTGTTCTATATTTCTTGTTTACCCTCTAAACGATAAAAAAGAAGAAAATCAGAATCACATTGAGAAAAACTAAATGCTGAATTTCTTTTTTTTTCCCAACAGGTTGTATCAGTCAGTGAAAATTCTGTATTCCTTTGGCATTTTCGTGACCTATTCAATTCAGTTCTATGTTCCAGCAGAGATCATTATCCCTGGAGTCACTGCCAGACTTCACGCCAAGTGGAAGCACATCTGTGAATTTGGGATACGGTCCTTCTTGGTTAGCATCACTTGTAAGTATCAGCACATGTCTGTCGTAAAAGCGGACGTGTATGTGTTAAAATGAGAACTGCTTGTTACATATTTTGCAAAAAAAAAAAGTTTTTTTTAACAGAGCTATGTTTGTATATGTGTAGATCAGGGCAGCTTCAAACTTAAGTCTTCCAGGCCTCAGCCTCCCTGTGGAGTGGGGAGGGTGGGGGTGGATGGGATGGGAGGGAGGAAGAGGGAACTGGGATCGATATGTAAAATAAGAAAAAACAAAACAAAACAAAACCTCCTTCTTCCTGCCTCAGCTTCCCAAATGCACTCATGGCTTAGTTTAAACCATTAGCAGGAGTCAGGACTCCCACAGGAGTGAGCTGGGCAGTGCTCCGGGTGCCACACCAGAGTGTCAGCTCTGCTCACTTGGTTAAAGCGGCCTGCGTGTTTCTCCACTTCAGAGACAACACATACTCAGATCTCATCCCGTTTTTAAGTTTGATCCTAGACACAAACGCAGGGACTTGCGCACACCAGACATGCGTTATACCCCAAGTTAATCCCCAGATCTTGGGGTTTTGAGACGGGGCCTTGCTATGTAGCCCAGGCTGGCCTCGATCTTACGATCTCCATGACTTGGAGACCCAGTCCACTGATTTTTACGCCCTTCATTGACTCCTGGCCTCAGCGAGTGTGGCCTCCCGTTTACTCATGGCGCACCACGCTCTGTGTGTGAGTCATAGACTCTGCCGTGTGGCAAGCAGAGGAACTCAGTGCTGGGAAACAGAAGCTCTGATCGCACAGCAAAAAGTCAGTAGGTATTTGTGTGAGAAATGTTGTTGGGGAGTATGGAATGTTTCTCTGGTTTGTTCCTCCTGAGCTCAGAGTAAATGATGTCACTTTCCCCATAAGCCGTGACCTCTGATAGTTACATCCAGTGTCCAAAAGGTCTGCGTGTAGTTCCTGCGTGTGAGCAAACAAGTCAACAGAGTCTTTTCTAACAGGTGCTGGGGCAGTTCTCATCCCTCGCCTGGACATCGTCATCTCCTTTGTCGGGGCTGTGAGCAGCAGCACTCTGGCCCTCATCCTGCCCCCGATCGTGGAAATCCTCACGTTCTCCAAGGAACACTACAACATATGGATGGTCCTGAAAAACATTTCCATAGCTTTCACTGGAGTCGTCGGCTTCTTGCTGGGCACGTATGTCACTGTGGAAGAAATTCTGTACCCAACTACAGTAGCTGTGGTGGGTGACTCACAGGGTCTCTCTCTGAATGCGAATTCTACGTGCTTGGCATCTGGTTTGAAGTAGCGGAAGAGCTGTGAACCTTCTGCTGTCCTCACAGTTCTAACGGCAGTTAAGAACCAGTACAGTGCATCGATGTACACCTAAACACAGTGCCAAACTCTTGTGTGTGCTGGCAGGATGTTGTGATTGGATTGTGAACTGTCATCTTCTGTGGCTGTGGTCAACTATGGCAGATTCGTGCTTTTATCTAGTGAAAAATTTTAAATTAGCTTTGAAAATTGAAAAAAACTAAATTTCAAAACTTAAACAATAAGCATACCCTATTATTATTATTTGTTCCTGTAAGAAACACTTTGAATAAGAATAATCTCTCTTACCACGCTATTGGGAAGATTAAGGAATTCAACAGGGACATAGTTAACAGACTCTTTCTGTAGCAGCCACAGTAGCAAAGTGAGCCCCTGTGTACACGTATGAAAATGCATCGCTTGCAGTTACATTCCATGGGTAATGCTTCAAACAGTCCCTTGCAGGATAGACGATTCCCCCTGACCACCATGTAAACACTAGAAAGTTCTCAGAGCCAGAACCACCTCACTGTTAGGCTCTATGGCCACTGGGAACCACCGAGCAAGGCTCTGACCCACTTTGGTCGTGGGCGGAACGGCCATTGAAGTTTCTGGACTGCTGCTCCCTTAGCGGCTGTCCTAGTTAGGGCTCTGTTGCTGCGATACAGCACCATGACCAAGAGCAGCTTCTGGAGTTATTTCCCTTCATAGTTCACATCACAGTGCGTCATGAGGGCAGTGAAGGCAGGAAGCTAGGGCAGGAGCTGCTGCAGAGGCTGTGGAGGATGCTGCTCACTGCACAGCATCCGGGACCGCAGTGCGCAGAACCCTTGCAAACTGGTCTTCAGTCTGGAAAATGCCCCCGCAGGCTTGCCTGCAGGTTAGTCTGACAGAGACATTTTCCTATTTGAATCTCTCCTCCAAAATTACTCTACATCGTATAAAGCTGTCATAAATGAGACGTAACAGTTAGGTTGGAGGGAATGTAGTCCCAGAAATGTCCGGTGACTTCGCCAAGAGCATTTACCAGAGCCTACAGAACCTGACGTTTGACTCCACGCAGAGATGTTTTTAATTATCATTATGTTTTATGTCATACTGAAGAAGAATGAAGAAGCTACATACTGCTTCATTTTAGTATGGGTTTATTTAATTCTATTTCATCTTTGGAGAGCGTGTGCCTGATCTTTGACTGTATGTGTCAGAAAAATCCAAGAAGCCTGCTTGCTGGCTTTATAGACCTCACACAGGAAGAGAAGCTCATATTTCCTTAAATAGCAGAAGCTGTGGTGTTTGCTGGTCAGTGAGGGCTCCTTATACAGCAGGGGACAGCTTACTAGCTGTGCAGTATTCTAGTCACATGGTCCCTTGCCTTTTTCCTTCCCAGAATCATAGGCACATGGCAAAATACAGGATTCTGGAACTTCCTAGCCTGGGCAGAGTAAAGGAACCCTAATGTGCAGGCTTAGGAAGCTTGAAACAGTAAGAAACTGCCTAGTAAATACTGAGACACTTCAGGCATCACCCCGAGAAAGCCTCCTTCACCATCTCCACACACAATACCCAAGCAGACAGGGATGCTGGAGTTTAAAGCAATGAGTCCTGGGTTGCTTTGTGGACTGCGCAGCCCGTGGCTCTCCAGTGTGTTAGTCTCTAAGATGTCACAAGCTCTCTGTGGAAGTCTCTGTTTTTCTATGAAAATGTTAACTTATTCAGGTTCAGCTTTGCTTACATCATCACTTCGTCTTCAAGTGTGAGCTCATAAATATATCAGAAGCTTTATTTTGGTAGGAATTCATAAGAACCAAAAACTTTGAAAACGTTTATGTTAGATGTTTCTAATAATTGTTTATGATGTTTTATGTTAAATTGTTGCTTCACATCTTTACTCTTGTGCAGAGAAAGTGGATGAGGTTATGAGGAAAGTAATTTCATAGGAATTTGACATGGGACATGTATTAGATATTCAGAAATGTGCACTGGCGTCCAGTGAGTTAAAACTCATGAAGAGCAGTGGGAGACCCTTGCCGGCTGTCCTGGGGTGGGGGGCGTACAGCTCCTCTGCACAGCAGGGGGCTCTTAGCGGCTATGCTCAGGGTCCACGCTCCTCTGCATGCTGTTTTATGTCTGTATCTTCACCTGTTACTGTGGGATTCACCGAGTGCAGTGGATCACTGCAGTACTTTTAAAAGTTCTGCACACACTGTGAGCATCTTATCAGTCAGGATTTCCTGCATATAAGACTGCCCAAGTCACAATACAGAAAGGAACGTAGGCTGACGGAAGAGGAAATAGTTAAGTTTTAGTGCGAAACGCTGTTTAGATGCAAAGTGGAAAGGCCATGCACTCTTGTATAAAGGTGACTGAAGATATATTTGTCATTTGATCATTTTTTCTGTAATATTTGGTTTTACAAAATTGTATTTTCTAAAGAGTGTTGGAGACGATATTTTGACTGCAGCAGGTATTACGTCGTCTGTGGGCCGGAGGAAGGGGAAGCAGACACACCTGTTGAACGCATGTTTGCTCTCTTGATGCATCATACGGTGGCTGAAATGACCCAGCAGTTACTTCCCATGGCCGTGGGAACTTTTCCGGGTCCACTGTGACACCCTGAGAGGAAAGCCATTGTTCGCCTCCCATGGACTAGACTCTCAGCCGTTCACTGTTTGTCTGGGTTCCCTGACACTCCAAAGAGTGCTCATCAGCATCTGCGGCCACTCGTCAAAAGACGGTTCCCACGTGGCGTTTACCACGGGATCTTTCCCTCCACAGTTAAGAAGTGGTAGGTAGCTAGGAAGCTTTCAGGTTAGATAGAGCCACTTAAAATAAACCAACCGACTGGTGTGTGCAGTGTCCACTGCTACCCTGTTGTGTTCGCTCTGACTTGTCACCAAAGCCACTTTGATGTATATTCGTAGTCCTGGAAATGCCAGCTGGAGTCGTATGGTGCCGTTCCTAACAGAAGTTCCCACAGGTGCCAGCACATTTGTTACTGGCATTATCCAGTAGGTCTTGACTGCAACTCCTTTTTCTTCAGTCAAGATGGAAAAGATTCAGAACAAGCCAATGGAGATAATATAGTTGTTTATATGATATGAGTGGTTCAGCAGATGTTAACTGTTGAGAAATAAAATAATTTATTGAAATGTAAAGCATCAATAGTATGAAATTATAAAATATTAGAAATGGGTTTGACTCAGTTATCTTCCCTTACTTAAGGAAGTTACTTGACCACACATGACTTCCTGGATCTGACTGCTCTTGACCTAGCGTATAAAAAGAAATATGGCTAGGTCTAGAATTTTTGCCTAGCGAGTGAAAGGCAAGATCACACAGTTGTTCATATTTCCTGTTAGTATTGGCTACTTTCCGTGTGTGTCCATGCATGCTACCCCAAAGGGACTCACATCTGAATCCATTTCAACTTCTCTACCACAGAATATTGGACCAGAATGATGATCACATAGGAAAATGTATATTCATGACATGAAAAATCCAGGATGTAGAGATTTGTTTTTCAAAAGTTATTTTGTTAGCTTTATTGAAAGTCAAGTTGCATTGAACTTGTGTCATTTATTGTAATTTATTTTTCTTTGTAAAAGAATTTGAAAAATGTCTGAACGTACTGTATCTTCTGAATTGTCAATAAAGTATAATTATTTTGCTTGCTATTTAATGCCTTTTAAGTTTTCCATTTATAAGATTAAATAAAATGGAAAATAGCCTAGCTGCAGAATTATTTTTGTTTTATTAAAGTTTTTACATTTATTTATTATTGTGTGTGTTTGTACATGATCTGGATGTGTGGCTGCACATGGCCACCATTTATGTGGAGACCAGAGGACAACTTTGTGGAGTTTTTTCTCTCATCTCTACATGGGTGGGGTCAAATTCAGGTCCTGAGGCTTGGGTGGTAAGCTTCTTTAGTCACTTAGCCATTTTGCTGTCCCCTCCCATTTTTTTTAACTTTTTTAAATTTAATTTATTATTTTAGATGCAGATCCCAGTTCCCTCTCCCTCCCTCCCTCCCTTTTACCCTCTCTGCCCTCTCACATGCACTCTAACCACCCTCCCCTCCCATCCCCCCAATCCAATTCCATATGTAGGGGAATGCCATCCAGTTGGGGTCATTTGATCTGACAGGTCATGTGAAGTAGGGACTAGGACTTCTCTCCTGTCTCTAGATTAAGGCAGTTATCCCTCCATGGGGGATGTGTTCACAAGGTCCTTTTGTGCACCAGGGATACATCCTGGTTCCACTGTCTGAGGTCCCTTAGACTGCTCAGTCCTTCTAACTGAGACCCATATTCAGGGGGGTCTGAGTCAGTCCCATGCTGGCTTCCCAGCTATCAGTCTGGTGCCCATTAGCTCCTCCTTGTTCAGGTCAGCTGTTTCTATGTGTTTCTGCAGCTTGGTCTTGTCCTCTCCATCTGCATCTGGGTTCTACTTCGACTCAGTGTTTATGTATGGGTGTTTGCTTCTGTTTCCAACAGGTATTAGATAATGGGCTCCATGGATAAGTTAGTTGTTGATCTCACTATCTGGGAAGGGCATTTATGATAGCCTTTCCACGGAAGCTCAAATTGTTAGTTGGTGGAAGTCTTGTAGGTCTCTAGACCTTTCTTTGGGTTCAATTTTCTCTTCAAACCAATATTGGCTCCCTCTTTTATGTTCTCTCTGTCTCTCTCTGTCTCTCTTTCTCTCTCTCTCTCTCTTGTCTTCTATTCCTACCTGGACTCAATGACTCAATCTTCCTAGTTGCACGTGTTTTCCTTTCCTCCCCCTCGTTTTCTCCTACTTCTCTCCATTCACTGCCCCCCCCCCACATCCCCTGTGCTCTGGGGGACTTGTCCCTTCCTGGTGAGGGACCTTATATGAATCTCTTAGAATACACCTTGTATCCTTTTTCCTCTGGTGGTGTGAATTATAGGCTGGTGATCCTTTGATCTAGGTCCAAAATCCATATATGAGTGAGTACATACTGTGTTTCTCTTTTTGTGACTGGGTTACCTCATTCAGGATGGTTTCTTCAAGTGCCATCCACTTGCCTGCGAATTTCAAGATACCATTATTTTTTTCTGCAGAGTAGTATTCCATTGTGTAGATGTGCCACATCTTCATTTTCCATTCTTTAATTGAGGGGCATCTAGGTTGCTTCCAGGTTCTTGCTATTACAAATAGTGCTGCTATGAACATAGTTGAACAGATGTCTTTGTTGCATGGATGTGAATCCTTTGGGTATATGCTTAAGAGGGGGATTGCTGGGTCCTGTGGTAAACTAATTCCCATTTTCCTAAGGAACCGCCATACCGATCTCCAAAATGGCTGTGTGAGTTTGCACTCCCACCAGCAGTGGAGGAGTGTTCCACTTTCTCCACATCCTCTCCAGCATAAGCTGTCATTGGTGTTTCTAATTTTAGCCATTCTGGCAGGGGTAAGATGGTGTCTCAAAGTTGTTTTGATTTGCATTTCCTTGATAGCTAAGGATGTGGAGCATTTTCTTAAGTGTCTTTCAGCCTTTTTGATTTCCTCTATTGAGAATTCTTTCTTCAGTTCTGTACCCCATTTTTAAATAGGGTTATTTGGTGTTTTGTTGACTAGTTTCTTGAGTTCTTTGTATATTTTGGAGATCGGCCCTTTGTCAGATATAGGATTGGTGAAAATCTTTTCCCAGTCTGTGTCCTTTGCCTTACAGAAGCTTCTAAGTTTGAAGAGGTCCCATTTATTAATTGTTGCTCTCAGTGTCTGTGCCCATGGAGTTATGTTCAGGAAGCAGTCTCCTATACCAATTTGTTCAAGGTTACCTCCTACTTTCTCTTCTAAGAGGTTCAATGTGGCTGGATTGATGTTGAGGTCTTTTATCCATTTGGACTTGAGTTTTGTGCATGGCGACAGACATGGGTCTATCTGCAGTCTTCTACACACATTCATCTGATTGTCCCAGCACCATTTGTTGAAGATGCTGTCCTCACCCCATTGTATAATTTTAGCTGTTTTGTCGAAAATCAGGTGTTCATAGGTGCGTGGGTTAATATCAGGATTTTCAATTCGATTCCATTGGTCTACCTGTCTATTTTTATGCCAATACCAGGCTGTTTTCAGAACTATAGCTCTGTAGTAGAGCTTAAAGCAGGAATGGTGATGCCTCCTGAAGTTCTTTTATTGTATAGGGTTGTTTTGGCTATCCTGGGTCTTGTTTTTCCATATAAAGTTGATTATTATCCTTTCAAGGTCAGTGAAGAATTGTGCTGGGATTTTAATGGGGATTGCATTGAATCTGTAGATTGCTTTTGGCAAGATTGCCATTTTTACTCTGTTTATCCTACCTATCCAAGAACATGGGAGATCGTTCCATTTTCTGGTATCTTCTTTAATTTCTTTCTTTAGAGTCACAAAGTTCTTATTATATAGGTCTTTTACTTGTTTTGTAAGAATTACCCCAAGATCCTTTATGCTGCTTGTGGCTTTTGTAAAGGGTGATGTTTTTCTGATTTCTTTCTCTGTCTCTTTGTCATCTGAAAAAAGTAGGGCTACTGATTTTTATCTTGTATCCTGCTAGCTTGCTGAAGGTGTTTATCAGCTGTAGGAGTTCCCTGGTAGAGTTTATTGGGTCGCTTATGTAAACTATCATATCATCTGCAAATATAGACAGTTTGACTTCTTCCTTTCCAATTTGGATCTCCTTTTGTTGTCTTATTGCTTTAGCTAGAACTTCCAGTACGATATTGAAGAGATATGGAGAGAGAGGACAGCCTTGTCTTGTTCCTGATTTTAGAGGAATTGGCTTAAGTTTCTCTCCATTCAGTTTGATGTTGGCATTTTGTTTGCTGTATATTGCTCTTATTATGTTTAGGTATGTTCCTGTTATCCCTGATCTATCCAAGACCTTTATCATGAAAGAGTGTTGAATTTTGTCTAAGGCTTTTTCAGCATCTAGGGAGATAATCATATGGTTTTTTCTTTTTCAGTTTGTTTATATGGTGGATCACGTTGATAGATTTTCATATGTTAAACCATCCCTGCATTCCAGGTATGAAGCCTACTTGGTCAAGGTGGATGATTTTTCTGATGTATTCTTGGATTCAGTATTTTATTGAGTATTTTTGCATCTATGTTCATGAGGGATATTGGTCTGTAGTTTTCTTTCTTAGTTGTGTCTTTGTGAGGTTTGGGTACCAAAGTTATTGTGGCCTCATAAAAAGAGTTTGGCAATGAACCTTCTGTTTATATTTTGTGGAACAGTTTGAGGAGTATTGGTATTAGTTCTTCCTTGAATGTTTGGTAGAATTCTGCACTGAATCCATCTGGCCCTGGACTTTTTTTTTTTTTTTTTGGTTGAAAGGCTTTCAATGACTGCTTCATTGCGGGTTATAGGTCTATTTAAATTGTTTGTCTGTTCTTGCTTTAATTTTGGTAAGGGATAGTTATCCAGAAATTTTCCATTTCTTTTGAATTTTCAATTTTTGTGGAATACAGGTTTGCAAAGTATGTCCAGATTTCCATTGTTATATTCCCCTTTTCGTTTCTGATTTTGTTAATTTGCATGTTCTCTCTCTGCTTTTTCGTTAGCTTGGATAAAGCTTTGTCTATCCTGTTGATTTTCTCAAAAAACCAACTCTTTATTGCATTGATTTTTTTTTTTTTTTTTGTATTGTTTTCCTGGTTCCTATTTTGTTGATTTCAGACCTCAAGTTGATTATTTCCTGGCGTCTACGCCTACCGGGTGAGTTCGCTTCTCTCTGTTCTACGGCTTTCAGTTGTGCTGTTAATTCTTTCTATTAGAATCAGGTTACAGTGGTCTAATGAGCTGAGTGAAACAATCTAAGAATTAGCCCATTTAGTCCTGGCAAAGTCTTGGCCAGCAGCAGCTGAGAGCTGCCACACGAGTGCCGTCGTTGCTTGGTCTGCTAGGTTTGAGGACGCTGCTGTGAAAGTGAGAAGAGAAAAAGAATGTGTGGGGAGGAGTTGGGGGAAGGAAGCCATGATCAGGATCATCTGTGTGAAAAATACTTTCAATTGAGACTCATGTAAAGTTGGTGAAAACATTTTAAACATCTCCCTGTTTTTAGAAAGAGTTTAAAGCAAATGAATAAACTTCTATCGTTGCTTTCAGCTGACAGCACGGGGCAAAGATAATGGAAATGGTCTCTTAGGTGGCCTTCACGGACACAGTCTAGGACATGTGATGCTCACACAGAGCAGGTGAAGAGAAGAAACACGTCCATGTCCGCGCAGGGCTCTTTCTAGCTAGCATCACACCTGTTTAAATCCTACAACCACTGCTATTAGAACCATTTCTGAGAAAGGAGAATGAGAGTCAATCAGATTCAGCAGCATGCCCAAGGGGAAAGGAGGGGACCCTCGGCCTGGCCCACACGAAACCTCGTACCTTTGGCCAGCACATTACTCAACTCCATCCATTGCCTCTCTGTGCAGGGGGCTGGCACTCAACAGTTAAACATCAAATTAATTACCATTCTATGGCGTTGTTCAACCTTAACACTAACGGCTCTTGGCATTTTTCAAAAGTCACACTCTATGGTAGTAACTTCTTGGAGGTAGTTATGTGATGGTTCCCGTATGTTCTAGTCTCCTTCAAAATGTCAGGCTACGAAAGAGGGAGACAAATTTAAACTGGAGCAGGTCAGATGGAAGAATTTCCTGTGAGTGC